AAGCTAACTTTCTGTTGTAATTTTTGTTTGGTACTAACTATTGTGTACAAGCATCTCTTTCTCTGTTGGGCATGGTAATTTAGTTTTCTGTTTTTACCTGTCTTGGTTGGGCAATCCATTTTATTTGAGCGTTACCCTGAGGTTTGATGCCATCTCTTTCTATGTTGTGCATCGTATAAATGTTTTGTGTTTGTGCATAAATCACTTATTATCTGCCAACAACTTTATCAAATGGACAGCAGAACTCTTGAGAAATGGAACTAATTGTTAGACCAGAATGAAAATTGAGTATTTAATAATTTCATATTTCGTAATGATGTTAAATCCTAGCTGTGTCAATTGGCTGTTGGTTGTTGGCATGTTTGGCTATAAACAGAGTAGTAGTTATTTGTTTACTTTCAAGTTCAATTTTAAGGGTAAGAATATGTTCTCAAAGTGGTGTCTTTATTTCCAAAACGTTCTCTCTCTTAAGTCCAATATGCTTAACGTTTTTTTGTTTTTTATTCCTTTCTTGATTGTCCAGTGTTCTACATTGTAGGCCTTTCTTGGGCATATGAGCCAGGTATGTTAGCCGTTCTAACATCCTACCATTTAATCATGGTATTTGTAAGCCTAGTTTTGTATTGTAAAATTCTGTTTGGTAATAATTCTTGTTTACATGCATGCTATCTCTGTTTTTCATGGTAATTTTCTCAGTTTTAGTTTTTCTTTTCCTGGTTAGCCATTTCATTTTTCTTTGAGCATTACATTGAACTTTGATATAATATATTCCACATGTGATTTTGTTTGTTAAACTTTTCACTTGACAAAAATTCCATTAGAGAAAAAATATTTTGGTGTTTTAAATCCCTTAGTATTTGCTAAATTGTATCAAATGGGCAGCAGAACTTTGTTATGGAACTTATATTAGGCCAGATTTAAAATTGATTATATAATAATATTACAGATTCCTATCTTGTAATGATGTTAATCCCCAGCTTTGTTAGTTGCCTGTTGGCCTGTTTAACCATCAATGGAATAACAATTATGTCTGTTTCTTTTTAATGGGATAGCAATTATGTCTTTACTTTCAAGTTCAATTGTAACAGCAAGGATATTTCCTTAAAATGTGTTGCATCTTTTTTGAAAAATATTCCCTCTAAACTGTGAAGTCAATGTGTAATGCGTTTTTCTAGGGGTTGCCATTTCAACATGTAGGGTAAACAACAGTGCAGAATATGCTGTTATAGATAGTGAATTGACAGCAATGCAGAAGCTTTTAACTTAGTTTCAGGGTTGTTAAGTTAGAATGTATCTTGGATTTTTGGGTAAATTGGAGTGAAGAATGTAATTGGGATTCCCTATGGGCATGTTTTTTGCTATTTTATTTGGATTGACTGGTTTGGAATATAGTATAATAATAGTTTGAAATACGGTCTAATAATAGTTGTGTGCCAATATATTGATCTTTATGATATTTGCAGGTGTGGAGTCTCACCAAAAACTTTTTGAAAGGGTTCGGCATAACTTTTTGAAGTATGCATCCTTTGTAATTAATCTGGATATATTTAATGCCAACTGCTGGGTATTTAATAATTATTATTATATAATATTGAGTGAGATGTTGGGAACTTATTGTTGGACGAGTTATTATCATGTTCATATTCTGGCTTAACATGCCTTTGAGCCCAAATGATCTGATGTTTCACTTGTTTCCCTTACAAAATTAGCATATTGCCCTTGAGATTTTCTTTGTTATTTTCTAATTGCTGTCTTGCTGTTTTCAAGGATTAATTGTGTTTGGTTTTTGGGTTTTTCAGCAGCTGGTATTGATTATAATCATGTTTGTTGTCTAACTCTACCTTCTTTTACGACTAATTTATGGGAGAAATTGAAAAAAAGGTGTCAGCTCTCAATTTCAGTATCAGAACCATAACAACCTGTGAAATGTCACAATTTGAGAGATCTTTACAGTTTGAGAGATCTTTACAGTATCACTTGAATAATATCAAGTTCTGGAATATATATGAGCCTACTATCATGCGGATATGTATCAAATCATCTCCCATCCTCAACTTCACCTCAACTTCACCTTATCGATTCTACTATTGTAGTGATTGGTACCCATTGCCACTTTCATATTTTCAACGTTAGGATAACAAAAGTGGTTAAGCATACTTCTCTGAACCATGGCATATCCATTGCTTCCCCTTGTAGTGTTCCAAGAATTCTGAATCAGAAAGTAAGGTTTGTTATCCACAGCACCATACCCTACAATTAAAACTGCATGCTTTTGATCTTTTCTATTTGCAATATCAATCATCAGTTTCGCTTCATCCTCTTCTGACCGAACATAGATTCCCTGACAAACAAATAGAATTAATAGATAAGTATCTACTTAGCCTAACTGCTTGTAATAGATAAATTAAAAATTGGAATTCAATAAACTCACATCACCCATAAATTCCTTGAATCCTCGTGTTACGTATATCCATGCGCAAACTGGTTGCTTGTCAATTGCCTCAAGGACTCCCTCCCTATCATTTCCAAGGTCTTCGAATCCATGAATCATGACATAACTGTTATGCTGTTCAAAACAGAAAAAACTTTGGTTACTAACTGTTGTTTTTTTTTTTTTTTT